AAAAAGAGGAAAGACCTGCCAGGCTTCACTGTGTATCCCTGCCATGCTATGTGCTTGTATTCAAACATGAGCAAGAGATTACACGAGAGCCGGCTTACACCCTAAACCACCAGTACATCCGAGACTAAATGTACGAGCCTGAATTTTAATTTTGCCGAAGCAAAGGGTACTGTCTTCGGGAAAGTTCAGGGTGGCACTGATTCTGCCTTCTGTGCTGGACCTGCTGCCAGCACATGGAACAAAAAGGAGGCCGTGTGTTTCTAGTTGTCACTCATGTGCCACTGAGCCCTCACTGTAATGCGGTCAGATCCATTCATGAAAGTGCTAACGTGAGAATGCCCTGAAATGAAACGACCTGACAGGGAATGGATTGCTCCCCGCCTCCTCACAGGGAGTCTCGTCAGACATTTCGGTAAGAGTTTGATAGAAAAAGGGGTGGTTAGGATAAGCGATATCTGGGACGACAGGAAGGAAGATTGGATAGATAGTGCTGTCTTGAAGCAGAAGCTACCGAGATTGAGAGGAGTCCAACAAAAGCTGGTGAGACTAACCAAAGCTATAGCAGAGAGTTGGGTGAGAATCCTGCGTACGAGTGCATGCGTACGAGTGCAATACCAGCAGAGGGCTTGTGGGGAAGGGAAACAAATGAGGAAGGACATTACGAATTCTGGCAAGTACTAGGCCCGGCATTGGAAGGAGGCTTTGAAGCTATCAAGTGGCAAACGTCTGCAGACTTATCTTTCACCAACGAAATCTACCAAGGAAGCAAAAGAGAAGCTGGAATCTGTGAAGGACTTAAAGGAGATTGTACTTAGAGGAGATTGCGGTGGCGGCTCCGCTAGCTTGAAGGAATGGGCCTTTAGCTCAGATAAAGAGAAAGCTAGTAGAAAAGGGGAGAGCTCTTAAATTGCTTGGTACTAATCCAGTCGCTGTCGGTTGGTAGAGTGTAGAAAGAGGAAGGACGGTGACACTGGAGGAATATATGCCCAAAGTTGGTAGTGAAGTACTCCGACGGAAAGTCAAGAAGCAACCATACACCACTGTAATAAAAGACGCTCTGAACAGGGTTTGTTAGGTACTTCTCAGGAGACAATGCAATCCTTATGGCTTGAGCTCAAAGGTCTTCCATCCCAGAGATTGCCTAGTATGTTATGGCTCCAAGCAATTCTGGCCACAGCATCAGCAATATGGTTAGTGGCCAAAGGCATGGAAATATCTACCACCTGCACGAGATGTAAGTGGGGGTGGGAGACTACGAGACATCTTTGGGTGACCTGTCCCGCGTCACGTCGTATCTGGGACTGGTGGATTCAGCTCTGGGTAAGAATCACCAAAAGTAGTCTTGAATGGTGTGATGACTGGATTTTAACGGGGTGCGTGAAAGGCAAAGCTGACTGGAAGTATGTGGCTCGGGTGGCAAGAGTGATTATTATGAAAGTGATCTGGGACGATAGGAACAATCAACTGTTTCGTCGTAAATTTATGTCAGACATCCAGATTAAGAAGCGGATTCCTTCGGACTTACGAAGAACCATTATTTGTGACTGGGAACGACACATAACTCGAGGGGTAAATCAGAAACAACAGAAATGGTTCTGGGAGACCTGGGGAAGGGATTCAGGATTGGCAATGATAGGTGATAGGGTGAAACTTTCCTTCTGCTCTCGGTTGTTGGCCACGTTTGGTCATGGGAAACGGATTGATCGGAAGGGTTGCTTTTCCCCGCCCTGATTTTAAGGAAAGGCTCTGTGTCTACTTTTCTAAATAAAAGGAGGGATGGAAGTGGTAAGTTTGGTTAAGAGCTAGGGGTATGGAAAAGGTGGAGGGTTTCAGTAAGTAGATGTAGAGGGGAGTTGAGGTTCAAGCCCGGTGGACCCCACCGTCCTTTTAAAATTGAGCGTAAGGTCCAGTTGATGTAGCTCAGTGGTTAGAGCACCGGTTGGAAATGTGCATTGTGGTATGAGTTTGTGGGTTCAAAACTCCGCAGCCTTGCGCATGGACACCGGCAGGGCGTTAGAATGATGCACGGCTGGACACACTCCCCTGGCTGACGCAGGTAAGCTATTACAGACACTGCTTGTGCACCACCCAGGGGCAAGTCCATGGTTGTTGTATGTTGGGTTTGGGATCTGGGATGTTTGCCTGATGCTGTTGGTTCTAGTTGTTTTTTGCGGGCTTGCATATATGATTGTTCATTTGCCTTCCAGTCTGATATTGCGTACGAATCGTTCAGTTTCCACAGTAGCTTAGTAGGTTCAATAGAAGATTGCATGGATGAGGTCGTGTGTCCAGACTCGCTTACCTAGTAGGTGGCAGGACCAAGAGACCTACACACCACCCATAGACTCAGGAGCGGTTGATGAGAATGAGACTTAGTACAGACTGTGGTCGGTGTTGGTGGTTGATGAGAATGAGACTTAGTACAGACTGTGGTCGGTGTTGGTAGGTTTCTTGGGGCAAGATTAGAGTAGGGGGACCCGTTGCTAGATGGAGATCTGAGGGTTTCAGCCATTAGGCACTGGAGGGGTTAGGATGAGGGCTCCCCTGGGGACAGCTCGCCCGTGGAACAGGATCGGTTGATGAGAGTGAGACTTAGTACAATCCACGGTCGAAGTCTGTCTGAACTAGGACCCTACAGACCGCCCATGGAACGAGGAACAGTTGATAAGAGTGAGACTTAGTACCGACTGTGGTCGGTGTTGGTAGGTTTCTTGGGGCAAGATTAGAGTAGGGGGACCCGTTGCTAGCTGGAGATCTGGGGGTTTCAGCCACTAGTCATTGCAGGGGTTATGATTAGGGCTCCCCTTAGGACAGCTCGCCCATGGAACAGGAATGGTTGATGAGAGTGAGACTTAGTACAATCCACGGTCGAAGTCTGTCTGAACTAGGACCCTACAGACCGCCCATGGAACGAGGAACAGTTGACAAGAGTGAGACTTCGTACAGTCTATGGCCGGTGCTGGTAGGGCTCTTGTGTCGGTGGGCCTGTCTACAGGATTGGTTGGGTTGTCTGCCTCCTATGTTTGGTTCACTATCAACAAACTAGTAATGACAACAGTGTGCACAGCGAACAACCTAACAACAAACAATAGTAACAACAGCGGTGTACACAACGATAGGAACGCAAAATAGGTCCACCTATGGGACTTGTAGTGCAACGTCTGTTCCTAGCACCTGAAGTACCTGGGCGACAAGGCTCGCACAAATATGCTTCGATCAGGGCTGTGTGGGGTGTGTGGGACTCAGCTTAGCCCTGGTACCTACAACCACGGTTCGGTCAGGTCACCCCCAAGGCTGGAGGGTGACGATCCTGAGTGGTAGACACTGAGGTAGGATAGTGGGAGTAGGAGTGCGCCGGAGAAATTACGAAAGAGGTAGGTTGGGAGGGAGTCCTATAGGATTAGGGGGCCTCTACCACATGGCCGAGTGCCGAAGGTGGGCCTCTACCACATGGCCGAGTGCCGAAGGTGACTCTCATATGTCTGTAATCCAGCCTCTACAACAACCTGGGCTTTATGGGGGGGGGGGGGGGGAAAGAGCGTTTGGAGAACATTTGAGAGAGAGAGCAAGTAAGGGGACGCTGGACCCGGTTTCCAGTACTGATCCGAATCTGGGTATTGGGCCCAGTCTCCGGGTAGAATTGTGAGGTCCCCGGCCTCCACTTGTTTCTTGATAATAAATGTTTCACATTCTCCAAAAAAAAAACAAAAAAAAGAAAGAAAGGGCATGCCAAGTTCGGAAGGTGATTGCCTAGATTCACCCACGGTGGCCAGAACTGCGGTCAGATACATCTAGGAATGTGTTACCCGCGAAAATGCCCTCAGATGGTATGCGCCCGTTGGACAAGTCGCCTGCTTCGTTTCCAGAAGCGAGACAGCGCCTCATTCAACAGGCAAACTTCTTTTTTCCTTCCTCTTCTTTTGGCCAGCTTTTTTCTTTTTCTTTTCTTTCTTTTCTTCGTTTTGCTTTTTGTTGTTCTGTCGGCCCTAGTGTTTCCACTAGCACAGAAACCTGTACGTTTACGGCCAAATGGAAACAGCTTACCCAGTAACCTTTTCTATGGTATGAGGGATGCCGGACCCGTTTTCCGGCTTGTATAATTCAAAAAGCAGCTGTTGTATGAACCAGGCCGGAGTGCCTGGATCATATGACACTGAAAATATTTGTTAGGGCCATGAGCTTCGTCCCCCCCGTTGCACTACCGGGGCTTCTCTGAGCGCCGAAAACTTCGGAGAGGCTCATTTCAGATTCCCAACTTGCCTGGGCCCATGTACTGGTGGTTTAACTTTAGTAAGAGACTAAGAGTATAGATAACTGTATCCTCAATCCTCTTGAATAGACAGTGAATTTAATTTGACAGGTTGCCATGGCGCCAAGTGATGCATCCATATCCCAAACGGCATGCGCTCACTTTTGTACTTGTGTATCTTGGTACCATGTACGGGATTATACATCAGTCTTTTTTGATATGCGCTTTGAGTGTAAAGCTTTGAGTGTGTGATCTTAAAACTGTGTATTCTCCTTCTCCTATTACATGCAACATCTCTTTTGGGGTTGGCCATACATCGGATTGAAAATATTTTTGCAGGAGGCTTCCTTTGCACCGGCGTGCCCAGTGTTAAGGAGAGGAGGAGGGGAACAAAGATCTCTTTACTTTTCGAGTAATACATGTAAAATACTGACCGTGGGATCACGAGTACTGCACGGCAGGTTTTGGGTCACACAAACTCTTTTCTATCCTATCCCCTTGCTAGTGGGACCATGCCCCAGTAGATGGAGTGACCCAAACAGGTATACTACTCAAGGATGCGCATATCACCCTGACTAGTACCACCTGCAGAGTCTTTTTTCAACAAAAAAAAAAAGATGATACTGAATCACAAAAAAAAAAAAAAAAGGAAAAAGATGATATTGAATCTTTTCGAAATATCTGACGGTTAATAGTTGGTTCTCTTTCTTTGTTTTTGTTTGTTTTCCTCGTCGGGCCTGTCTCTACACAGCTGCAAAAATGGGGCTGGATGCATCACTTGGCGCGCCATTGTGTGGCCTGCTTTCTCACTCGTGGCGATCTGGTACTACGGAAGCCTCCCCTCTGCAGCTCACAAAACCTCTCTTTTTTTGGAGTTTTCTTTTTTCTTTTTGTTGCTTTTTGGACTTTTCTTTTTTTCTTTCCCCCACCTAACCTATCTTTGTGTTTGCCGTTCGGCGATTTTGGAACTGGGGTCCATCGCGTGGGCGTTCAGCAGTTTTGGAAATCAGTTTCCGCAACTTTCAGCAACTTTCAGGGCGTACCTGCACTCGGATTTCGTCAACTACCCTTGGGTCATAATGGTGGTCAGATGCATCCAGCTCTGGGTCATACATCTGGGAAATCCCGACTGTTTGATGCTTCTATTGTTTTTTTTTGTTTCTTCTTTTTTTTTCTTTTTTTTTTAACAAAACCCGGGTTTGCGAGAGGCGCTGGTAAGAGCAGACACCCCTAGCAACCCTGTGGCTGGCTCCGATCTATTGGTGGGGAGCGACACCTGCTGGAACTCGGGTCCAGCGTCCCTTGCAGCATAATAGATAAGCCAACAATGAGAAAATGTACGGCAAATTGAAAAAGACTGCCGGCATTGATTGCCCTGGTTTGTCCCAGGGGATTGACTGAGCAGTGCTAGAGGAAATGGCCGTCCCTTTAGCATGTCTTTTTGACTGAGAAGCCTGATTTGTCCACCCTGTCGTCTGCTGTTTCCGCCGCTGAAGACCTCTCATTTACCTTCATTCGCCTGTAAACCAGTGAGCTTCAACCATAGAGTGTGCAGGTAGCAGGAAGAGATCAGGAAATTCAGAGAGGGGTCGCAGCAGGATGGAGGGGTCAATCCTGGTCCAATCGTGGAACTGGAGGCAGTAATCCCTTTTAAGCTTTCCTTGATCCCCTCCCTCCCCCCTTTTCCATTGCGCTTCCGCAATCCAGCCCCCTTGTTCTCCTCCCAGCCAGTCCTTTCCAAAGAGTTGAATTTGGCTTTTAATTTCTGCTTTTGGATGCAAAAAATCCACTTTTTCCTTTACCCTTTCCCATTGGATAGAAAGATCTGCTTGAACCTGGTGCTTAATTGCTTCTATAACTGTTGGCCCTTCGAGGCGAACTCCTTCCATCTCACAGGTGCGTCTTCTCCACCAGCTTGCCCAGAGGACTGCTCTGCGGCCTATCATAAACATATTTCCCTCGAAGGTGCTTGCCTGCTCTGGCCACCAGGTTTCACACAGTATTGGTTTCCAATCCCATGGCCAGGATATGGTCATGCCCAAGTGCCTCCATACCCGGTCCCACCACCTCCACAGCCAGACCGACCCAGGGCACTGCAGAAAGATGTGTTCAATTGTCTCAGGTCTCTGCCTAGCCAGGTATGAAGCCACACACAGTTTACGCCTGGGAAGGCCTTCCCCTTCTGTTCCAGGGATGTGCGGTCGATCAGCCAATCGTTTATGGGCAGGCAACAGTGATCTGCTTGCCACTGTAGAGAAGCGATCTTGGCTGGTACTGATTTACTAGTTTGAACCACTTGACTGGTTGGAGGGCACTCTTTTCCAAATTGAGGTGCCTCATCCAATGCTCTATCACCACATCCATCAGGTTCACCCTTGGGCATAGCAGCCTGTAAGCTCCCTTTACTGACATTGAGTGGATCTACTGCTTACAAATTCTGCCCCTGCCCATCTGTGTGGTCCAGACCCATACGGTCGGATAGAAAGCCAGCTGTGCAATCGACCTATCAGGTATGTATGCCCACCAGTGGTCCCTTTCCCTTAACACTCTAATCCGGAAGACTTCCTCTTCCTTAACCCATCTTGTTTCCTCCGGGGAGGTCCTAACTAAACTGTTGTTTCTCCTGGAACAAATTCTCCATCACCTCCCTGTCTGGATGCCCGGACACTACCACATTTCCAACCTGGTCCTCACACCCTTGAATCCCTACCCAATCACTCTCCTGCAAAATTTGTCCTTTCCTTATTACCCTTTTTTTTTTTTTTTTTTTTTTAATTAAACCCACGATATCCGATAGGAGTGATGGTAAGAGCATGCACTCCTACCCGACACACTGGGGGCTCCAGTCTATTGGTGGGGAGCAACACCTGCTGGAAAGTGGGTCCAGCGTCCCTGAGATTGCAATACAATGATGATAGAACAGTTCATGCTGGGAACCGGGCCCAGTGTCCCTTGTACCTCTTCACCCTCAATCTAGTGGTGCCAGCTTTCATCGATAAGCCCTGGTACTAAGAAGGGATAAGTGTCTCTGATGATGATGCTACCTCAGTTGCAATCATAGCTTGTACTGTTTCCACTGTCTCTTGACCCATTGACCTCATAACATGCAGCTTAGATCTACAGATCCATCTTTTGTCTGTCTAAGCTCCTTAATTTAGGCACCATTTCTTGCCAGCGAACTTAGTTGCCTACTTGAGATGCTAAGTCAGAGGGATACAACCCACTGAGAGAAAAAGCCTCAAGACAAGTTCCTCTCCAGACATCTCTCCCTCATTCACAACCATACCAACTTATGGGGACCAGAGATAATGAGGAGGGGGGAAAAGGGTCCGGGAATTCTGATAAAGGGCGAAGGGGAATTGATGGATCCACCTTCATCCAATCCAGGAAAGTCAGG